ATGCAAAAAAAAAAAAAAAAAAAAAAAAAAAATAAGAAACATACATACACTCTAACAAAGAATCCCTTGCGGAGTTTATGCTCCAGCCTTTTGTGGTTGTGTCTTTGCAGCCACACAGGGATGATTTGCAAAGAATGTAGCAGTATTTGTTGCACCTAGCAAGATTAATTGGTTTAAGCAGCAGTCTTTCAAAGCAGCTACAACAATAATATTTCGGATCTTTTAGAAAGACACAAAAGCAGCGGAAGAGCAGGAAGGCGTTTGAGCAGCCAAGAGTGCTGAGCGCCGGCAAAGTGCATCTATCATAGATTGTAACCTTACCAAAACTTTTCTCCTTTCTCTGCATGAGTTGGTTTAGGCGTGCCTGAGTTGCAGCAGCTTCGCATTGAGCACCCAGCCCCAGAGACAGAAGTAGAAGGGGGTCTCCTTAATTCGGCTCAAGTGTGGACCTGGTACGCAGCCTACACCGCCGAGGACCGAGTATTGTGAAGCCACTTTGGGAGAGGGTCGGAGTGGCGGCAGGGGGGGGGGGAAGGGAGGAGGACGGCCAGACAAGACACGGCGCACACACACACGGAGCCCCTCGCAGTGTGGCAGTGTGCAAAATAATGGCGAATGACAAAGCCACATGCTTCCCTAACTCTGCCTGTAATCCTAAAATCCCAGAGGCCCCTTTTAGCTTCCTGGTAACAAATGGATTTGATTAAACTGTCACATGCAGCGTTAGCATAGCATATCATGTTCAATATGAAAAAGATCATAAATCTGACTTGTATTTCATAACAGCAATCTGGGTAGCCCCCGTAAAAATGTGCTGCATCAGTCTGAATCTCAGTCTGTTAGGACATAGTAACCTCCGTTCCATGGAACCGCTCTCTTCTGGCCACTTAGTCCCCACCCCCCAAACATAGTCACTTTTCCATTGCAAAGGAACAACATTTTGTTATTATGGCTGTGTGGGGAGAGGCAGAAGTGTCAACAAGAATCAAAAGACTGTAATTTCAACACTTTTTCTTTTGGGGGGGGTGGGGTGGGGGTCATGAATTCCAGCAAGTGTGGGGGTGGGTCCGTGAACCCATCCAGGACTAAATTCCCTTCCTGCAGGCCAGGAGCAAACATTTCCCGATTCCAAACTCTCCTGCCCCTCTCTGCCCGGGAGTCGGGGGTGTGCAAATGCTGCAGTTCCTGCTGAACTTTGACTATTCTCCGCTGGAGTCGGACTTGAGACGTTCCGCGCCGCAGCAGCCGCTCTGCCTCCTTCCATCAACATCTTCCGCCTGCATTTATTTCATGTCCCATCATAAAAATAATGAAGCCTCACATGATTTAAACAAAACCGTCTCAGCAGAGCTGCAGCCCGAGTGAAAGTTGCAGTGCGGAGCTAGGTTGCAGCTCCAGTTTATGCCTCATTAGGAGAGGCTGGGGAGGGAAAAAAAAAAAATACCCACATCCGCACACGCACGCGCGCACCCGCAGACACACACACACAGCACAAATAAGCCGACGCGTGTGTACACAGTCGCTGCACTTACCTTCTCAATTAAGCGATATAGGGGGAGGCCGTTCAGTAAGCACAGTGGCTGCTTTGTAGCGCTTCTCCTTGGGAAAGGTCAAAAAGAAGCATTGTTTAAAAAAAAAAAAAGAGGGGGGAGGGAATCTCTATTTTTTTTAAGTTTAAAATAATGAGGTCCTCAAGGATCCGCCAAGGAATGGTGTTGACCGCATCTGAGCCACAGGTGTCCTCCTTTTAGGCAACTGCAGTCCGAGCCTGTCTCTTTCCGTCCTGGCTCAAGACAACTTACCCCAGCAGCGTGCGAGGAGCCGAGCAGAAGGAAGCCCTGGCTCTCAGCTGCAAAATGCAATCCCTTCCCAGCCAGACATAATACAGCCAAAGAAAAGGTCACTCAGTTATTACTGAGCCGGCGGAGCCCAGGCAGCGATTGTCGAGACCACAGAGAAGCAGCTCCCTTCCGATTTAAGACTATTTACCTCTCGCCCCCACCCCTCCCCTCTCCTCTCCTGTCCCTCTGTTCCTCCCTCGCTCGCTGGCTCCCTCGCTCGCTCTCGCTCTCGTGTGCCTGTTCCGCAGCTCAGTCAAGTAGAGCCGCCCTCGGAAAGTGCAAAGCAGCCACGAGACAGATCGGGCTTTGTTGCTAATTTCCCAGGGTGAAAATTTACAAGCCTGCGAGTGCAGTCAGCACAACCACATGCATATGCTACTCACAAACGCGGGGGACGACCCCGCACACAAAAGGTGACCTCTGCAGGAGTCAACTCTGGAAGGACCCTACCTCCTGGCCCCGTCCAGAAGAACTCCAGAGAAAGACCTCCGGAGGGAGAGGGTAGGGTTTCTAAAATAACCAGGGCATTTTGGAATAGGTGGCCACATTTAAAGCAAATTGCCTTCCAAAGCCATTTCTGAAGCTACCAATTATGGAAATGAAAATAAAAGCAAGGGAATCAAACTGCTACCAGAATACACTGGAAAAGTACACAACCCTCTCCTTTAAGAAATGTCAGGGTGGGGGTGGGGGGGCTGCAATTGCCTGGTCTCTGGTTCCATTCATGAACTCTCAAGTCGCTGCTCCGCAAGTCTGTCACACAAGCTAGGTCCAGCGGATGACACACACACACCCCTTCCTCCCTTCCCTTAATGGCCCAAGAACTAAACTGTAAACTTGTTCCCCATTAACCAATTCCGAGCCCTCACCAACCAGTACCACTGAAACACACTTTCTGCAATTACTTGAATTCCTTAATATTTAAAGCTCGCATTTGCAAATGCATAACACTCAGGAGCATGGAGAAACATGTTTTCAGGGCTAAGTTGGTCAAGGAATCAGCTTCTCCACCAGTACTGCCCTGTCCTCACAGGCTTGCTTTAAGGCCTTGACAGGTTTTTTTTTCCCCCATTCTTGAAATAGGTCCTATTCTCCCTAACCTCCGCTTCTCTTAAATTCACTTTGCATCTGTAAAGGCCACTGGTAGCTTTAACATATCTTATTATTTGTCTAAGTTTTCAAACTTCAAAGTCATCCTCTTTTTTGGCAGTTATTAAAGCACCCTCGCCCGATTTTACGAAGTCTTAGTCAAAGGTGAAGCTTAAAAATAGTCCAAATTTGAATGACACTTGCTGAAATGTTTTGAGCCCAGAAAGACTCAGTTGCTGNTTTCTCCACCAGTACTGCCCTGTCCTCACAGGCTTGCTTTAAGGCCTTGACAGGTTTTTTTTTCCCCATTCTTGAAATAGGTCCTATTCTCCCTAACCTCCGCTTCTCTTAAATTCACTTTGCATCTGTAAAGGCCACTGGTAGCTTTAACATATCTTATTATTTGTCTAAGTTTTCAAACTTCAAAGTCATCCTCTTTTTTGGCAGTTATTAAAGCACCCTCGCCCGATTTTACGAAGTCTTAGTCAAAGGTGAAGCTTAAAAATAGTCCAAATTTGAATGACACTTGCTGAAATGTTTTGAGCCCAGAAAGACTCAGTTGCTGAACTGAAAAAAACTTTTTTCTTCTCTGCACCATCAGTTTTAATCTAGTTCTAGCTTTTTTTTTAAAATCACCCTCCCACAAATATTTAAGCTAAATTTTGTTTGTCTTCATAAAGAATAATGGCAGAACATCGATAACTTATTTTTTAGTCCCTCCCTTTTGAAGCCTCCTAATACAATTAGTCTGTGGCTTGCTTTCCTCTCCCTTGAAAAGGCAACAAAACTCAGAACTAACCTGAAAAATAACGAAATTCACAGACAGACGGCAGATTAGTGGGAACCCCTTCAGTTGGTTTGGTCTGTGCATAGGCAGATTTCTTAAGTTTGGCTGTTCTGGCCCTCTAAGCAGGCGCACACGCACCTCACCCATCCGCACAGCTCCCCGCGGGTCTCCCCCACCTCTGCCACTCTGAAAACACCCCCGAGTGTGTGTGTCTCTCGCGCGCTCTCTCTCAGCCAATGCACTGAGAAGAAGAAAAGAGGGAGGGAGGGAGAAGTATGTGTGGGGAAAGGGAGAAATAAAATCAAAACAAATGGTACAGCTAATGAGGACAATTAAATTAATTATGTTCAAGGAGATGAGATTTTTTTTCCCCTCCAACTGTATGATCTGTTACCCCTCGCTGGCAACTGCTGCTCTGTAATTCATGGCAACTGATTAGTGCATCTATGCAAATCTTTGTTTAAATCATTCAACTAATTAAATGATGGGATTATTCCTCTGCCTACGGTGACATCATTCTCAGTAATTAGTACTCTATTTGGACTGTGGCAGTAAGATTCCCGATATCAACACCAACCTGCAAAGACATTAACCACTTTGTCACCCTTTTTTTTTTAAGGGACAAACACCCAGATCTCTAATTGCATCTAACCCCCTTCTTTTCCCCCCAATCTTCCTTTTCCTCCCAATTTTTACCATCTCCCCACACTTGTACTGGCAAGCAAGGGGGAAAGGGGGCTGAGAGACAGAGAGAGAGAGAGAGACACACACACACACACACACACACAGAGAGAGAGAGAGAGAGAGAGAGAGAGAGAGAGGAACTTAGTGAATAATATGCCAAACCACA